CGCCGCGAGCGGACGTCGGCGCGGTCGAGACGACGACGCGGGACGACGCGAGCGACGACATCGCGACGGACGAGCAGCGGCGTCCTCTGCACTACTGGATAAGAGCGCGAGGCGAGACGGATCGATCGATCGATCGACCGACCGCGGAGCGAACGGCGCGCGGCGGAGACGGACGACGCTCGAGAAGCGTCGACGGACGCGGATACGTTCGCGAGAGAGACGCGAGCGTGGGCGACCTTCCGGAAGGACGCGCGCGGTGTCGACTGCGCGCGCGGCGACGGGACGATCGCGGAAACTCGATCGTTGACTGTGATGCGTGCCACTTGTCGTTCTGTTTGGCAGTGCCAAAAGGCACAGCACCGCCGCGACGATTTCGTCGAGGGTTACGCGCGCGGAAGCTACGAAGGAAAGGGTGTCCACCGTCCACACCCCCCGCGGTCGTTCACCCGAACAACCCCTTGAACATCGCGGATATCCCGCCGCCGCTCGCGTCCTTCGAGCCCTTCTCCAGCGCCGCGAGCACCTCCGGTAACATCGCGTCGAACGCGTCCACGATTTTCGCGAAGCTCGGCCGCGACGTCGGGTCGCGCGCCACGCACTCCTGCGCCACCGCGGCGATCCCGGGACACGCTCTCGACGCCGCCGCTTTCAACTCCGGTCTCAGCTTCCCGTCCGCGACCGCGAACGCGATCTGCACCGGGGTTTGAAAGTACTCGCGGTACGGCGGCGCGCCGTTCACGAGCTCGACGAGCGTCGCGCCGAAGCTGTAGACGTCGGCTTTGGCGTCGTAACGCTCGTGTCGCACAACCTCGGGCGCCATGTACACGTACGTCCCGGTCTCGCCGGTCATGACGTCCTCGGAGGAGGGTTTCGGAGGAGGGCTGCTGCTGTTAGGGTTCGATTTTAGGGTTTCTCTTGCCTCGGTGGCGTCCGCCTCGCCGCCCCGAATCTCGCGCGCGAGGCCAAAGTCCGCGAGGTACGCCGTCGCGTCGTCCGCGTCCGACGACATAAACAGATTCGACGGCTTCACGTCGCGGTGAATCAACCTCGGGGACGACTCCTCTAAGCATCGCAACGCGCGCGCGAGCTCGTGCGCGATGCGTAAACGCGCGGCCAGCGGCCGTTTCGTTCCGTTATCCACGCCCTTCGGGTACAGCCACTGCTTCAACGTGCCGCCGTGGCACAGCGTCGTGAGGATCCAACACCGGTCGGGCGGGTCGACGCGCGCGCCGTAAAACGGCAAGACGTTCGGATGCCGCGTCCGCGACTGCACGCGCACCTCGCGTAAGAACGTCGCCGCGCGGCCGGGCGAGGAGACGTCCACGATCTTGCACGCGACCGGGGCGCCGCGCCACATCGCGCGATGCGTGACGCCGCTGCTCCCGCGCCCGATTTCCGCGCCGAGGACGACGTCGTCGGGGCGCACGAGCCAGCCCCCGGATCGCGCGTCGGCGACGAGCGACGCCGCGCCGGCCCATCCGTCGCCGCTCGGCGCGTCGACGTCGTCGTCGATTTCGTCGTCGGCGCACAAATCGGCATCGTCTCCAAAACCTCTTTCTCTCGCGGCGCGTCGCGCCGCGGTGAGCTTCTCCCCCAGCCGCGCCGCCTGCGCGCGCATCGCGTTCGCTTCCTCCGCGCTCGCCTCGAGCGCCTTGACCTTCGCGTCCATCTGCGAGATGATGTCGTTCGCCATCCCCAGCGCGGTCTCGAGGTCTTCTTCGCTCCGCGCCGCGCCCCCCGCGGGCGAGGAGGACGGCGCGTTCGTCGCGGTGGGCGACGGCGGCGCGCGCGGCGGCGCCATGGCGCGGCGACGCTGTGAGGACGACGACCGAGGAGGGTGCGGCTTTGGCCCTTTCGCGGTTCGAACGACGACGAGATCAGATTCATCACTTCGACCGACATAAACCACATTTTTCTCGCTGTTGCTGTGACAACCAGCCAGACAGCACAGCTCAACGACCGAAAAGCTCGGACGCCTCGACTCGGCGCGACGGTCCGCCTCCCGCGAGCCGCGACGTCGCCTCGCGAATCACCCTCAACTGTACATCGTACGGGGTCGACGTCGCGTCCCCGCGCGCGCGCGGCTAAAAACCGTCGAGTCACTCTCGCGCGCGCGTCGAACGCGTTTCCCCCCCTCGCTCGCCCTCCCCGCCCCCGCCGCCCCCGCCGCCGCCATGGTCGGCCCGATGACGATGACGAAGGTCCCCAAGACGAGGGCGGACTCCAAGTACAACGACCAGCCCGGGACGGGGCGCACGGGGATGTACCGCATCCCGCCGAACAACTACGACTTCTACACCGAGGACGAGAAGTGCGTCCGTCGCCTCCGCCTCCGCCCCGCCTCGCGCGCGACCCGTCCGCGGACGTCCTCCCCGCGGCGCGCATCGCGCGCTTCCGCCGCCGCGTCCGCCGCCCGCGACGCGCGAGCGATCGTCGCGAGTCGCCGCCGCGTCGCCACCGCGTCGCCGCGGGCGCGTCGAAGGGAACGTCGCGCCTCTTCGACTTCCTCCCCTCGTCGCGTCGACGTTGGTTTTTTTTTTCTCAAGTCTCTCTCGCTCGCGCCGCCGCCGCCGACTCCACCCTTCCCCAGGTACAAGCCCCAGCGCACGGCGGGCGGCGGGATCCTGTCCGAGTGGGAACCGATCTACCAACCGTCCACGGTCAAAGCGGACGCTGGCCGCCTCGACGCGTTCGGTAGGCTCGATCTGGACAAGATAAAGGAGAACCGCGACAGGTCGTTTTGCGAAAAGATGCGCGAAAAGTACCCCGAGTCGCGTGCGTCCCGCGCGCTGGTTCCCGTACGACCGCGTTCGCGCGGCGAACGCCGGTCCTCGAGGACTCGTCTTATATGGCGTTTCTCTCCTCCCGCCCCTTGCCTTCAGTATCGACACACCTCGACGCGTTTCAACTCCGCTTCTGACGCCTTTGAACTCCGCCCCGACGTCGCCTCGCGTGGACCCTCGACCGTCGTCAGCGGAGACGCCGCACATGAAAATCCTCGTGACGTCCGAGCTCCACAGAGACGAAGAGTACGGCGGCCCGTTCTGGCTGACGATCCCTTTCAAGGTTCGCGTGCACGAGCTGCGCATGATGATCGCGGAGCACTGCGGCGTGATGCCCGGCTTGCAGAGGCTCAAGTTCGCGGCGAAGGACTTCGACGACCCGGAGAGAAACCTCGAGCACATGGGCGTGAAGTACTGGCACGGGAAGTTCCCGGACTGGCCGATCGTCATGAAGCGGTTCTGATGCGCCGGCGGGTCGAGGGGCGGTTGGCGCCGGAGTTTCGTCTCGAGAGAGATATCCCAGACCACCGCGGAAAGTGATCCTGGGCGGGGGTGGTCGCGCGCGAGGCGAGCGCGGAAGACGCCCGCCGCGGACAGACTGTTTTTTTGCCGACGAACTGAAAAAAATCTCTGCTTCTTCCGAAACATCTCGCCAGCAACTTCTTCCCGCCACGTCACCGTCACACGTCCGCGCGCTTCGCTCGGTCCGTGCGATGTTCGCGGTCGGCGCGCTCGCCGCTCCCGCGCTGCGCGTCACCCGCGTCGCGAGGTCCTCCTCCGCGCCGCGGTTCAACTCCAGAGCCTCCCCGCTCGGCGTCCGCGCGGAGAGCCCCAACGCGTTCTGGGACCGCATGGTCGCGAGAGCGTCCGGATCCGCGAAGACGACCGAGACCGCGGTGTTCGCGCTCGGGTGATTCTGGGGCCCGGAGGCTCGCTTCGGCAAGCTTCCCGGGGTGGTCTCCACGCGGGTGGGGTACACCGGCGGCGACGCGCCCGCGCCGACGTACGGCAGCGTGTGCGGCGGCGACGGACACACGGAGGCGATCTCGATCGAGTTCGACCCGAACGTCGTGACGTACGACGAGCTCCTGGACCGGTTCTGGGAGGAGCACAACCCGTCGGGGTACAAGCCGAAGGCGCAGTACAAGTCCGCGATATGGCCGACGACGGACGCGCAGTTGGAGATGGCGCGCGCGAGCGTGGAGAAGATCAGGTCCAAGTACGGAGACGTGCACACGGACGTCGAGCCCGCGAAAGAATGGCACGACGCCGAGGTGAGCGCGTCCCGCCGTCGGTTCCGTCGTCTCTCCTTCTCCTCGCGCGTGTCATACCCTAATACCTAAACCCCTGAGCACGGCAACCCTCTCCACTCCATCGCGCGCGCGCAGGAGTACCACCAGAAGTACTTCGATAAGATGAAGGGCATCTTCTAACGAGTAGAAGAGGCGGCGGCGGTGACGACGCGAACGCGCCGCCGCCGACGCGTTTTGAGAAATAGACTCGGGAGAGACGCTCGCGAAGTGACGGCGGCGGGTTAAAACGGCGCTGACGAAACCTCAGCGCGACGCCCGCGGCTCGATGACACGCGACCGCTTCCCGAGATAAAACGCGCGGGGGGAGGGGCGACGACGACGACGACGAAGCGAAGCGATGCGATACTGTACTATCATATCATATTTTGATGAAACAACGCAACGCGCGGTCGAACGAAAAGAATCGTCACGTCGTCGCTCAGCCGACTGGCCGCAGCGGCAACCTCCTCACGGACGGCGCCGCGTCCTCCACGTCCCCCACCCCCTCTTCCCCCGCCATGTCGTCCGGGAACACCTTACTCTCCGGCCCGCGACCGTACCCGACGAAATCTATCGAATCCCCGCGCGCTTCCACGACGCACCACGGCCCTTTCCGTCCCGGCGTCGCGAGCATCGGCGACTCCATCACCACGTAATGCGTCCCGGCTTCGCTCGTGTGTAACCCGCCCTCGTGCTGGTGCCCGCTGACGACCGCGCTGACGTTCGCGGCGTACGCGTCGTCCTCGAGGACGGCGAGGACGGCGTCGTAGTTCCACAGCAGCGTCCGGCCGCTTCCTTTCGCGGTGGACGCGGGATGCACGAGGAGGTGCGAGAACACGACGACGCGCTCCTCCGAGGCTTTCGCGGCGATCAGTTCTTCTCTCAACCAGCGCAGTTGCGCCTCGCTCACGGCGCCGTTGAACGGGACCCTCCGCGTGCCCAACCCCTCTAACCCTTGGAAGTACGGGAACGTCCCGCTCATGCGCTCGGTCTCGAACACGTCCGGGTTGTCCTCTACCCACCGCGCGCAGTTCGGGTTGTGCTCGCACAGCAGCTCCACCGCGGCTCTGTCCAAGCCCTCGCCTCTCCCGTTGCCGTACACGCTCACGTCGTACGCGTCCAGGACGATGACTTTCCACCCTCTCGCGGGGCGCATCGCGTAGTAGAACGAGCCCGTCTCCGGGTGCGCGCACCGCAGCGGCGTCGTCGCGTTCGTCCCTCGGACGCCGTCTCTGATGAGGGTCGACGGTCCACGCGCAGCGACGTCGGGGCGGAGTCGAAAGGCGTCAGTCGGGGATTGAGTCGAAAGGCGTCGAGAGGGCGTGTCGGGGATTGTGAGCGAGGGGAGGGCGGAAAGACGCGCGCGCCGGGAGAGAAAGTCCTTAAGGAATGAAGTTCACAACGCGAACGCGGTCGTATGGGGACCAGTGTGAGGAGAGAACGCGCCTGAGCTCGTCGCGCGTGAAGTTGTACAGCTCGTGGTTGCCCACGGTGAACACCCACTCCTTGCACGCGCTGTCGTCCAGCACGCGCATCACCTCGCCGAGGTGATCGTACGACACGCGCTTCGGCTTGAACGCGTCCGTCTCGAAGTCGAACGCGCACTGGTGGTCGATGATGTCGCCGTTGTGAAGCACGAACGACAGGTCGTCGTAGCGGTTGAAGAACGCGATCGCGTCCGAGGCTACCGCGAGCGAGTTTCGGTACCGTCGCACCTGCGTGCCCGTGAAGTTGGTGCGATCGTCCGTGTCCGTGTACTGGATGTCCGCGAGCAGGCCGAAGCGGAAGTCCGGCGACGGCGACGACGACGACGTCGCGGACGCGGACGCGGACGACGCGCGGCGACGATGATGATGATGAGAGTGCTGTGATTTGGATTTGGCAGGGGGCGTCCGCGTCCCGGAGGACATCGTCGCTCTTCCGCTTCGACTCGACGACGGCGACGACGACGCCGCGGGGGCCGCGCGTCTCCACGCGCGCGATGCCGCGCGCGTTACCGCCCCGGTGCGCGACGCGATCGGTCGGAGTAACATCCACGCGCGTGCGACGGCGCGCTCGGAGGTCTGAGGGAGGAACCGGACGCGCGGGACGACGGACGATGCCAGCGGGGATTGACGGCCAGGCGCGCGGCGCTGGTTTCCGCGGTCGGCGACGACCAGACCCGCCCGGCCACGTCGGCACTCTCGGCGGCAGAACACGACGCGCGATGACGGCGACGGCGACGGCCGCGCGACCCGGCGGCGTCCTCGCGCGACCCGTCGCGAGCGGCGCGACGCGCCGACGCGACGGATGGAGACGACGCGTCGGGCGCGTCGTCGCGGTCGCCGCGCGCGCCGACGTCCGCGCGCCCGTCCGCGCGACGCCACGTCGTGATGACGACAGCCTTCGTCGCGTCGTGGAACGCCGCGGCGCGCGCCGCGGCGCGCGCGTCGTCGTCCCGACCGCGACTATCACGACGCGGCGCCTCGCCTCGCCTCGCGTCGCGACGACCGCGTCGGCGTCTTCGTCGGACGCCGCGCTCATCGAGTCGCTCCTCACGGAGGAGTACGAGCCCGAGGGCGAGGCCGAGCGCGCGCAGATCCTCGACGCGCTCTCCCTGCCCGCCGCGATCGCGCGCGTCGCGAGACGGCGTCCGCGGAGCGTCGCGCTCGCGTTCGCCGCGATGCTCGCCGCATCCGCGGTCGTCCTCGCCGCGCCGATGTTCTCCTCTCGCATCATCGAGTGCTTCATCGGCGCGCGACCGGAGGCGCACTTCGCCCGGGCGCTCGCGACGCTCTGCTCGCTGTACCTCGGAGAGGCGGCGTTCACGTTCGTCTACGTGCGGTGCGCGTGCGCGCTCGGCGAAGAAGTCGTCGCGTCGTTGCGACGCGACCTCTTCCGCGCGCTTCTCACGCAGCGCGTGCGCTTTTTCGACGAACACAAGTCCGCGGAGCTCGCGGCGCTGTTATCCGTCGAGCTCGGGACCGTGCGGACGCTCGTCGTCGCCAACGCGAGCCGCGACCGCGGGTTTCGCGCGGCGTGCGAGTGCGTCGGCACGGTGGTCGTGTTGTTCGCCGTCGCGCCCAAACTCGCGCCCGTGCTCGCGTTCGCGGTGATGTCCTTCGCGATCGTGACCGCGAAGTTTAACCGCAAGACCGGCGCGCTGTTCGCGATGGACGCGAAAGCGCAGGGCGCGGTGAGCGCGTCCGCGGCGGCGACGCTGGGGAGCGTGCGAACGGTGCGGTCGTTCGGCGGCGAGGCGAAGGCGTTTCGCGCGTTCGGCGTCGACGCGGAACGCGCGCGGACGAGCGGCGTCGCGCTGTCCAAAGCGAGGGCGGCGCTCGAGTGCGCGAACCGCGGGTGCATCTACCTCTCGCTCGTCGTGTTGTACACCTTCGGCGGGTACCTCGTGAAGAGCGGGCAAGTCCCCGTCGGCGTGTACCTCGCCGCGGTCGGGTACACGTTCGGTTTAATATTCGCCACGCAAGGCGTCGTCAACACCGCCGCGGACGTGAAAGCCGCGAGCGCGGCGTTGGGGCGCGCGCGGGATCTCGTCACCGCGCGGGCGCCGGACCCGTCGCTGTGCGAGCTGATCCCGACGCAGGCGCAGGCGGGAGAGGTGGGAGAAAAAAGGGTGGGAGGGGAGTCGAAAGGCGGCGGCGGCGGCGGCGGCGGCGAGTGGACGGCGAACGCGTCCTTCTCCGAGGAGGAGAAAGAGGCGAGATGGGAGACGTCGCGCGCGGGCGCCGCCGCCGCGCGCGCGGCCGCGCGCGGCGGCGACATCGTGCTCCGCGGCGTGACGTTCGCGTACCCGAGCCGGCCGGACCAAGACGTCCTGCGCGGCCTCGATTTGGTTCTCCCGCGCGGCAAGGTCACCGCCATCGTCGGCGCGTCCGGCGCGGGGAAGAGCACGATCGCGCAGCTTCTGTGCCGGTTCTACGACCCAGACGTCGGGATTCTCTCCGTCGGCGGCGAACCGCTGGATCGCGCGGCGTTCAACCGCGCGCACTGGCTCGACGCGGTCGCGCTCGTGTCTCAGCAGCCGACGTTGTTCGCCGGGACCGTGCGCGAGAACATTCGGTACGGCAGAGACGGCGCGAGCGACGCCGACGTCGCGGCGGCGGCGGCGGCGGCGAACGCGCACGATTTCATCTCGGAACTTCCGGAAGGGTACGACGCGGACGTCGGCGAGGGCGGGGGCGCGCTGTCCGGGGGGCAGCGGCAGAGGATCGCGATCGCGCGCGCGATCCTGAAGGACGCGCCGGTGCTGCTGTTGGACGAGGCGACGTCCGCGTTGGACGCCGCGTCGGAGGTGCGTTTTATCTTACACTGGTCCCCATACGACCGCGTTGGCGTGGTGAACGCCGATCCTTAAGGACTTTTGCCGGCGTGTCTCTCCGACCACCCCACGCTTTCAATCCCCGCCCTCGATGCCTTTCAACTCCAACTGACGCCTTTCAACTCCACCCCGACGTTCGCTCGTATGGAACGACCCTGAGGCGGCGGTGCAGAGCGCGTTGACGCGTCTGATGCAGGGTCGGACGACGCTCGTGATCGCGCACCGGCTGAGCACGGTGCAAAACGCGGATCAGATCGCGGTCATGGATCGCGGGGAGGTGGTCGAGTGCGGGTCGCACGAGGAGCTGCTGAGGAGAGGGGGCGTCTACGCGGGGCTCACAAACTCGCAGCGGCTGTCGTTCGCTTGATTTTTTTACGCGGCTATTTATTCTCCGCGAAGGTACCGTACGCAGTAGCTAAGGGTACTACGCTGGAGGCATTCGTCGCGTTACTCGCCGCCTCGCGTCGTCGCGTCCGCGAGCGCCGCGCGCAGGCGTTCGATCTCCGCCGCCGCCGCCGCTTTCACGCGTTCTTGCGTTCGCACGAGCTCTATCCTCGCCTCGGCGCACCTCGCGAGCGCGTCGCGGTGAATCTCCTCGACGACCTCCAGCTGCGAGTACGACAGCGTGTCTATGCCGACGCCGCAGACGTGCGCGAGCGTCACCTCGAGCGCGGCGGCGGTGACGTGCGTGGACTCCAGACGGCGCGTCGCCTCCGCGATCCAGGACAGGTCGCGCGGCGGCGGCGACGTCGGCGTCATCGGCGGCGGCGGCGGCGACGTCGGCGGCGGTGGAAGCGGCGTCTGTCCTCGGGACGACGTCTCCTTCGACCCCGCCATCGTCGCCCACGACGTCGCCGAGGAAGCCGGCGGCGCGGGAGACTGCGGCGCCGGTCGCGGCGGCGGCGCTTTCGCCGGTTTCGGCTTCGAAACCGCCGCCGGCTGCGGAACCGCCGAGCCCCCGCCGCCGCCGCCGCCGCCCTTCGCTTTGCGCTTGCTCACGACCTTCTCGAATCCGTCGTCGTCGTCGCCGTCGCCGCCGCCGCCGCCGCCCGTTCCCTCCTCGATTCCCGGAGACGATGGAGACGCCTCCGGAGTCGCGTTCGTCACCATCGCCGCGAACGCCGCGGCCCACGCGTCGTTCACCGTCAACGCCGGTGACGCGTCGTCGTCGTCGCCGTCGCCGTCGCTGCCGTCGTCGTCGCTCTTCCCCGTCGAGACCCCCTCCTCGCCCCCGCCCGCGTCGGTCGCTCGCTTCGGCCCTCGCTTCTTCCCGCCGCCCTCTCGCTCGCTCTTCTTCTTCTTCTTCCCCGAGCCGCCGCCGCTCGAACCGCTCGAAGCCTCCGCCTTCGCGCGCGGCGCGTCGCCGCCTCCCTCGTCCCCGCGCCCGTCGGCCTCGCCCGCCAACAACGCCGCCGTCGCGTCGCGCCGCGCCTCCGTCCTCCTCCGCGTCTCTCTCTCGAGCGCGTCGCGACACCGCCTCCGCGCGTCCTCGCCGACGCCGTGCTGGTGCCACTCCGCGCTCGGGACGCGCCCGTCGCGGTCGCGCGCGAAGACGTCCGCGCCGCCCGTCTCTATCAACGCGTCGACGCACCGCCACGCGCCCGCCTCGACGGCGTAATGCAGCGCGCGTCTTCCGTGCGCGTCCTGCGCCTCGACGCTCGCCTTGGCGCGCAGGAGAATCTCCACGCAGAGCGCCTCGTTCGCGTGCGACGCGAACATCAACGGCGTGGACTTGCCCTTGTTCGTCGCGTCCGCGCTCGCGCCGGCGTTTAAGAGCGCCGCCGCGGCCGCGGTGCGTCCTCGCGCGCACGCGAACATGAGCGGCGTGTCGCCGTTCGCGTTTCGCGCGTTCACGCCCGCGCGCTCGCCGCCGCGAGCGGCGCCCGCGCACGACGACGCGAACGCGGGGAGGAGGATCTTGAGGACGTCGAGCTTCCCCTCCGCGGCGGCGAGGTGCAGCGCCGTGTTGTCCGTCCCCGGGGCGCGGACGTCGTCGACCGCGTCGCGAGTCTTATCGAGGAGGAGCTTGACGATGGTCGCGCTTCCGCCCTGGACCGCGGCGAGGAGCGGGTGCTTGCTCTTCGCGGCGGGAGGAGGGGTTCCCGTCGCGGGCGTCGCGCCGGGGGAGCCGCCGCCGTCGGGCGCCATCTCCGCGCGTCGCCGTCGGCGTCGCCGTCGCGTCCCGCCCCGCGCGGTCGTGAGTGGCGAGTGAATGCAAGCTGGCAGCAGGGTGACAACAACAATCTGTCGTCATTGACGATGACGCGGGGCGCCTACGCCGTCGACTTCGGCGATGGCGAGGCGGATAAGAGGTGGATCGAGAAGAAGAAGAAGATCGCCGCGGAGCGCCGCGCGAGGAAGCGGGACGAGCTCGAGCGCCTCGCCGCGCGCGTGCGATCCGTCGAGGCGGTCGCCGAGCGCGCGGCGACGAACGGCGACGAGCGCCTGTGCGGGCTCCTTCGACGCCTGCGCATGGCGCGCGGCGTCGCGGGCGGCGTAGTGGACGAGAGCGTGGACGGGAGGGTGAACGCCCCGGCGAGCTCTTCGTCGTCGTCGTCGTCGGAGGAGGAGGACGAAGAGAGCGAGGAGGCGGCGGCGGAGGAGGACGCGTCCGCGTCCGCGTCGGACGACTCGAACGACGACGACGCGTTCGAATTCGACGACGAACACGCGCGAAGACGACCGAGCCGCGGACGCCGAACGCCGCCGCGCGCGTCTCCCGTTCTCCGACGCCGCGAAGACGCGATCGTCGCGGAGATACGCGTCGAGCTCGCGGAGACGAAGCGCGAGCGCGACGCGATGCGGCGCGACCTCGAAGCGCTCAGAGCGCAAGTGACAGATCGCATCGATCGAAGCGCGCGCCCGGCGTCGGCGTCGTCGCCGTCGCAGCGTCCGTCGCCGTCGAGCCTCTCGCGCGTCAAGCAGCTCGCGTCCTTACGCTTGGAAGAGGCCGAGCGCGCCGCGACCGTGGCGACGGAGGTGGCCGCGGATCACAAGAGGGAGACCACCGAGGCGCGCGCGAGGCTTCGCGCGTGCGAGCGCGCGCGCGCGGCGGATCGCGTCGCCGCCGACGACGCGCTTCGGTCGACGCGCGCCGAGCTGAAGAAGTCGCAGAAGCGCGCGAGCGAGCTCGAGGACGAGCTGTACGCCGCGAAGGACGCGGCGCGCATTAAGCTCAAGCGTAAAGACGACGCGATTCGAGCGATCGAGAAGGACCTCGACGACGCGCTCGATCGATGCGGCAGAGCGGAGGCGTTGAATCGAGACTTGCGACGCGAGAGCGAGGCGCTGATGGTCGAGACGCGCGCGGCGAGCCGGAAGTGCGACGCGCAGGCGAAGGAGACGGAGGCGTCGAACGCTCGGCGAGAGAGCGCGGAGCACGAGCTCGCGCGGTTGAGGAAGTGGGCGGAGGCGCAGAGGAAGGACCTCGAGAGCGCGGTCAGGCTGGCGAGCGGCGTCGACGTGTCGCGGAGCACGGCGAACTGGCGCGCGAAGGTGGGCGGGAACGGGAAGAAGACGGCCGCGAGGGGGAGGGGGGCGGGCAGATCGAAATCGAGCTCGGCGCGCGCGACGATGGACGCGTCGCGCGGGTGAGGGCGTCTACTGTAGCTATTCTATCGCGAGGACGGGCAGCCATGTCGTCATTTCTATTGATGACGTTGTAGCGGTCGCGCCGCTGAGGCTATGTGCTATGTCGCGACTGATGACTTTCGTCGAGGTCGTCGAGGGACAACGCCGAGGGAATACTTTCCCAAAAGGGCGTTGTCCCTTCTTCCTCCCCGAGCCGTCGTCGTCGTCGTCGTCGTCGTCGTCGTCGTCGTCGTCGTCCGCCGATAAATCATCGCGTTCGTCGTCGTCGTTCGTCGCGTCGCGTCGTCGCGCCCGCCGTTCACGCGTTCGCGTATCGTCGCGGGAACAACCCGTGTCCGTTCCTGCTCCGCGGTCGCCGCGTCTGCTCCGAGCCTTTATCCAACGACGCGCGCATCTGATGCGCGCGCGCGTCGCTCATCGTCGTCGTCGTTCGCGTCGACGACGCGTTCTTCGAGCTGAACGCGGTCTCAGCAGCCTTTCGCTCCGCCCCCCGCGCGCTCACGCTCAGTCGTCGCATCCTCGGCGTCGACGTCGTCCGCGCCGGGACGACGAGCCCGACTTTTTTCAACCCGCTCACGGCGACGCGCAAGCCGCCCTTCGTCGCCCTCGCGGCTCTCCCCGCGACGCCCTTCACGCCGTCCGCGCCCTTCACCGCCCTCCCCGCGACGCCCTTCGCGACGCCGCGCACGGCCCCGCCCGCGCCGGCGACGGAGCGCACGACGAGCGACCTCGACGCGACGGCGACGGCGGCGCCCGAGTTGAGACCGCCGTTGATCGCGCGGCTCGAGTCTCTCGCGGCGATTATCGCGCCCGCGCCCGCGCCGTTCACTCCGCCAGCAGCGCCGACCCCAGCAGCGCTCCCCCCCGCGAGCAGCCCCGTCGACACGGACCCTATGACGCTCCCAGCGCCGCGGATCACGCCTGTCGCGACGTCGCCGACGACGCTCAGGACGCCGTTGCCGACGTGCATCGCTTCTCTGACCACGGGGACCTCCGCCGAGACGCCCGCGACGGCTCCCGCGCCCGCGGTGACGAGCCGACGCGCCGGGAGCGCTTTCGCGACGACGCCGGGCACGAGCGCGATGCTGGGACCGACCGCCGCGATCGGGCGGAAGAGCACCGCGCACGCGCGCATGCCGAGACCGAACGCGAACGACGCGCTGAACGCCGAGCGCAGGCGGTCGATCGCGGGTTTGTTTCGCAGATCCGTCGCGACGCGCACCGGGAGCAGATGCAACGCCTCGTACGACTTCCCGTCGCGAAGGCGGCACCATGTTTGCTTCCACGCCACCGCGGAGGAGACGCCTCCGGGCCCGTGCGCCGCGTCCGGGCACGCGTGCGCGCACAGGTCGTTCATGTAGTGCCTGCAGTCGCTCTGGTTCAGGTGGTACGTCTTCTCTCGCTTCGCGTTCCATTCGCGAATCTCGTCTACGGTCAAAGAGGTGGTCCCGACGAAGTGATGTCCATCCGGGAGCTCCTCGAGCGTTCGCTCGCGGATCTCGCCCTCGATCGCGCCGGAGGTTCGCGCGCGGCGCGAGGTCGACGTCGCGACCGAGCGCGCGAGGTCCTTCCACGATTTCGCGCGCGCCATCGCCGTGGTCGGCGGCGCCGGCTTCTTTTCGTTTCCATCTTCGTCGTCGCCGTCGTCTACGAAATCGTCGAGGACGGCGACGTCGCGCGCGTCCTCCTCGCCCCCGCGCAGATCCGGCGCGGACGCCACGCCGCGGAAGCCTCCCGCGAGCGCGCCGGTGACGTCCCCGCCGGGGGGCGCGAAGTCGAACGACGTGAGCGTCCCGTCGGTCACGTCTCTGATCACGACGGTGTAGTGACACACGCCCGCGGCTCGCAGCCCTTCGCGGATCGGGTTCGGCAGGTGCTGATAGAAGCCCTTGCCCCACTCCACGAACTCTCGCGTGACCGCGTACACCTCGCATCGGTGATCGGCGCGCGCGGTGTCGTCCATCGCCGTCGACGCCATCGCCGTCGGCGCGCCCTGCGGAATGATGCGGAGACCAAGCGTCGGCGCGGGACGCGCGAAAAAGGCGGGAAGGGAATTTGTGGCTAGAATATTCCGACGGGGAAACGACGGTTAAACGACGAGTCAAAAGGCTCGTCTCGTGGCGGACCATAACCTACAGTAGATTTTGTTTTTTCGGCGGCGACACCAGACGACCGGGAAAAAAGTAGAGGCATGGCGAACAGAAGAGGACGAAGAGGGGTCGTCTTCCGTTGGTTCAACACATCCATCCGGTGGCGGTGGTACGTATTACAATCCTCCTCTCGCGCTCGTCTACGCGCAGAGATCCTCCTCTCTTCTCTCGCGTCTCACCATCATCATCATTCGTCCTCGCCGTCGTCGTCGTCGTCTACGCCGCCGCCGCCGCCTTCGCGGCGTCATCCTTCGCCTTCTGCTGCGCGATGCTGTACAA